TTATTGTAAAAATATCCCAAAGATTCTTATAAATCAAGTGGATTCTACCCTACCTTGTTTAAAAGTTTGTTTAAGAAGAAGTGGTTCAAGAGAAGGATCAAGTTCTTCGCCAACGTTTTCTAGAACCAGAGGGTTGCCGAATGTTATACAATTCTCTAAAGTTCTCATGTAATCACTATCTGTTAGTTTAATAATAGATAAAGTATTCTCTTTCTCTGTATTCTTCACCCATTTATTGGCTTGTCCCTGAGGATCTATCATCAACGGCCTGAAAATACAGTCCAGTTTTATATACATTATACAGACAATGAATTAGAGTGATATATCACTGTCTATACTTTGTTATATTGAAATGTTATTTGCTCAACTGTTTCAGGCAAAAGATTTTAAAAAGAGCCTTTCAATGAAAAGAAATTGTCACGTTCTAGAGGCGGTATTATTGCTCTACTTTTGGTTTTGCTATCTCACAATTTTAACCCTTTGGACCCTGAGTGTAAATGAAATATAACGTCATATACCCTGAACTCCAAGTAATAAAAGTAAAAGCGTATGATGTTAACATTGTATGACGTCACTTAATAACGGCTGGTATACAATCTGCCCAGGTATATATTACGTTAGTGTGTGGCCGGTAAACTGGCTGCTGTGAGTCGATACACCAGAATAAAATGATGTAGTAAAGTAATTTATTTTTAGTCTAATTTATCAATAAAGAATAACCTACCATCTTCTACCATTAGCTACAATAACACCATTATCAATAGAGAAACTATCTTTAGGTAGTCCATTAATATTCCACGCCTGTATTTTGATTGGTTCTCCTAATGTTTTACTCAGAGAGAATTCCTGTGAGCACGGAATCTTACAATCCTGAAAGTAGTTCAAGGTTGGAAATTATTGATCTTCTAAGCACAAAGTTTTTAAATTCAACTTGTCTGCTTGTTAGGATGGTATTAGCTGTTGTACAGTCAGTGCTAAGGATCAGCTGGTAGAAAGGATCCTGTTAACCAAAGTTGTTATCCTTGTAACAATGGTTGATACTTTCTCATTCTCCTTATTTTTACAATGTTCAAAGCTGGTAATTGCCATGTAGTTCGAGCATTGCCTTCCAAAATTACCTATATCTGAAACTATTCATTGTCGAACAAGCTATCGTGGGTGCTTCAAGTTACAGAGAACCCCCACAAAATCATGGTCAGAATTAACATACATCATGGAGTACATACTCTGATGTGTTTAACATGCTATCAGAGATGCTTCAAGTTAAAGAAAACTCTGGTAGCAAGAATTGGTTTACTGTGGTCAGAATGAACTTACAGTGCACTGTTTAACCCAGTCACCAGTACAGGAGTCTCTGAAAGCTGAAGTAAAGGGTCCGAGGTAGGCTATAACACCTGCTGATATCAGTACATCTCCCATCAAATTATCATAGGTAGTCTGTAATGCTTCTGCTGCCTTCGTCCATCTCTCCTTTTCACCACCTAACCCTCCAATCAGCTTCTCGGCTCGCACCAATTTTTTACCACATAAATCAACTTGATATTCTAGTCTTTCCTTCTTGTCTGTCATTTCTTGGAATGACGCTTTTAAATCTGCCAGTCTTTTCTCAACAGCAGCTAATTCTGCCCTTTTCTCATTCAACATGTCCATGGTTGTTTTCAAATCCGTCTCTGCCTCAGCAAGTTTCGCTTTTTTAGGAGCGACAACTTTAGCAACTCTGTCGTATATTTCCATGGCTGTGATCCATTTACACAGACCTTCAGCAGCTGAGGAAGCATTGGCAACCTTAACCGGGTCAAATTCAGGATTACCAATATATTCTTTACGGATCTTCTGCATGACATGAACCTAAAATTCAAAAAACAAAATTCATGTATTTCAGATTCCGTGCTAAAACTTCTAATTTTATTTGCCAAAAGGTCAAAGAAAAAGTATGAAGTTACAAAACAGTAATTAGAAAGAGAACACCAGAAACTTGTAAGTGGCAGTCAGGAAACAGCTATCTCAGAGCATCTCCAGGATTTCATAGAATAGTACAGATAGTTTCAAAATGCTTTATTATCAAAACATTGCAAGTGGTGTTATTTTCCAAAACTTTACCCATGATGATTTTCCAGTCATCTGATTGGTCAATGACTAAAATCATTCAATTGGATTACTGTATTTCTTAAAATTCAGATTTTTATCTTAGTTTTTCGAGAAGTTTTGAACAACTGGCATTACTGAATTGCAATTTAATTGGGCTTAAGTAACTAGAAATGTATTCATTATTTATAATTATTATACTTACAGGAATATTATCTTTGTCATATTCTTTCAACATAGAGAGGAAGTTCATATCATTTAATAATTTCTTTGAAGGACCCCAATAATCAATAATCTAAAATAACAAAAGACCAATAAAATATACATAAAGTTACATTGTTTCTACACATAGATGTTTCAGTTACAGAGATAACTGTATTGTGATGATCTACATGGCAAAATGTCAGACAATTTGTCGAGGGGGCTGTGTAGGGTCTACAAAATTTTCCAAAGGGGGCCACAGGCAATTCTGTTGAAATTTGAGGGGGTCAAAGGCCTTACAAACACCACAGTTTGTCTGGTAAGCGAATATTAAGAGAACTATATTGGTAAGGACTTATGTTTGGACTGATTCTTACATTGGCCACATGTAACCTGTTACAAAAGAGTCAGTTCAGCAGACAAGGGAATCCCTAGTTTTAAGAGTAAAAATCTGTGCATTATACTCCCAATTATTCAGTATATGACTTTCAATCAACATACCTTACTACCAGGTTTATCAGGATCGTTAATTTTATCAGGTTTAATATCCTTCATGATACAAACAGCTGCCATTACAATCTTTACACCTAGTGGTGGATTCTTCATAGACTTGACAATCACAATATCTTGTGTCTGGAAATAGTAACACATTGTATCACATGGTATTATATTGTATCACATGGTATTATATTGTTACCTGATACACATTCATAAATTACAGGACATGGGAATGGCACAAATGGAGGAATCTCTTTGTACACCTATTTCTGGCGTGCTAGGTTCCGATAACAATTTGCCACACCATGCAAGCTTAGAAACCATACATTTGTAAATATAAAAACTAGATCCAGATAACTGCGTACTTATAGAATTATAAATTAGGATTTTATCTAAAGGTATTTTTGACAACATTTCAGTATTCGAAACGATCTTAGCACTTGGACATCCTAGAAACAGTGTTAAAAGTTAAGACTTAAGGATATCCTAGCGCTAAGATCATTTCGAGAATAAGCAGCCAGTTTTCCAATCATACCTTCAGTGTGTTGAGGGCAGCCAAGGAAGCTTCAAGAGCAGGTAAAGCCTCAGCTAAATCCGCTTCACATTCGTCTTTCAACTCTTGAGCTACAGCAGCTTGTTCATTAGCCGCAGCCTCATCGACCTTCACCTTCTTACTGGTCTCCTCCACGTCAGCCGATTCCTTCTCAATAATGACCATCATTTTGGAATTTTCTGCTGCTGATACTACAAGTTGTGGCTGAAGTTCTTCTAATTCTTTCTGCATGTCAGCCACCTGGAATTTATCGCACAATATTCAGAATTACACCTTTATTTTAACACAGGGCCTAACTTATTTGAAGAATGAAATGAATGCAGTTTTACGTCCAAATTTATTTGAGAAATGGGTTGGTTCATTTCCAGATTTCATAAAGAAAGGCCAAACAACGCTAAATTAAATGTCTATTTCATGCCATCAATGGTCTATCTTAATTTTGTTTTTGTTCTTCATGGACACTTGGACAAAGTTAAGCATTTGGCGCTTACATAGGCCTCCCTAGACCTTAAGCCAGTTGTTTTTTGTCCTTTGATTCTGACTTTTTAACTGGTTGTCTATACTCTGATCTTTGTCGGTTCAGATTTTTGGGTATAATTATTTTATTGAAAGTAGTAACTTCATAACATCAGTGTTTTTCCATAATTGACAGAACTGTAAAGTTGACATTTTCAAAAGTTTTAATGGTAGAGGAAATTAAAGTTTGCGTACCTGGGAAGATGCAAAAGCAAGTTTTTCCAAACCAACAATATAACGTCTCTTAGCCTTCATAATTTCATCTTGTTTCTTTTGAAGGAGATTTTTAAAAGCGTAAATTAATTCCAGATATGATGTTGGTGTTACATAATTATGTCTTCCTAGATCAGCCAAAAAACTGGAAAGAAATAGGTTACAATAAATTACTCACAAAACATCTGATCAAAATTATGAAATAAAATTAAATTTAACAGCCTCAAAGTTATCAAGGAAATCAAGATACTCAGAGTAATCACTATTACCACAAGTATACACTGTTATCAACAGTAATCATTATAATCAACGGTAATCATTATGATCAATAGTAATCAATATAATCAACAGTAATCACTCTGATCAACAGTAATCATTATGATCAACAGTAATCATTATGATCAACAGTAATCACTATGATCAACAGTAATCATTATGATCAACAGTAATCACTATGATCAACAGTAATCATTATGATCAACAGTAATCATTATGATCAACAGTAATCATTATGATCAACAGTAATCATTATAATCAACAGTAATCATTATAATCAACAGTAATCATTATGATCAACAGTAATCATTATGATCAACAGTAATCATTATAATCAACAGTAATCATTATGATCAACAGTAATCATTATGATCAACAGTAATCATTATAATCAACAGTAATCATTATGATCAACAGTAATCATTATGATCAACAGTAATCATTATGATCAACAGTAATCACAATGATCAACAGTAATCAATATAATCAACAGTAATCACTATGATCAACAGTAATCATTATAATCAACAGTAATCATTATGATCAACAGTAATCATTATGATCAACAGTAATCATTATGATCAACAGTAATCATTATGATCAACAGTAATCATTATGATCAACAGTAATCATTATGATCAACAGTAATCACTATGATCAACAGTAATCATTATGATCAACAGTAATCATTATGATCAACAGTAATCATTATGATCAACAGTAATCATTATGATCAACAGTAATCATTATGATCAACAGTAATCATTATGATCAACAGTAATCATTATGATCAACAGTAATCACTATGATCAACAGTAATCATTATGATCAACAGTAATCATTATGATCAACAGTAATCATTATGATCAACAGTAATCAATATGATCAACAGTAATCATTATGATCAACAGTAATCAATATGATCAACAGTAATCATTATGATCAACAGTAATCATTATGATCAACAGTAATCATTATGATCAACAGTAATCATTATGATCAACAGTAATCATTATGATCAACAGTAATCAATATGATCAACAGTAATCATTATGATCAACAGTAATCAATATAATCAACAGTAATCATTATGATCAACAGTAATCATTATGATCAACAGTAATCAATATGATCTACAGTAATCATTAAAACCAGCAGTAATCATAACATTTGCAGTACTTAAAAGTAATGACATTAACAAATATATGCTTTAATTGTAAAAAAAAATTCAGAATGGGGGTGGTGAGGTATTTAATTTCTCAGTGGAGGGGGTGGGGCCCCTGGAAACCAAATAAGCCATAAGTTCTCACCTTTCTGACAGTTCTCTAGTACTCTGATGGAAATATTTACACAGATGAACAGAAGCTTTCTTTTCTTCATCTTCAATATCAGCATCTTCTAAAAACTTATTGGCCACTCTCTCTAGAGCATCTTCTGGCCATGGCTGAAATTATACCAGGAAGTTATATTAGTTTTGATGCACAATAGTTATTCCTTAAAGTGGTGATTTCTTGGAAGGATGTGTGTTCTTCAGGATAAATCCAATGGATATGACATCACGATTGACGTGGCTTGGTTTTGAAAGTAAGCTCTCTGATGAAGCGCTTAGTGTAAGCTTGACTGTAGACTTGGGTGTCAGGTCATCTCATACTACAGAATACACTTACCTGAAACCAATCTATAGTACAACAGTTAATCAAGGATGGGAACTGACGTAATCGATTACGGAAAGCATCACCAATAGGACTGAACGCTATCATAATATGTAGGTTTTCACGACATCTATTCACAAAGAAAGCAAAGAGAGCAAGGGGAGAGAAATCAGCGTTTTTATCTCCAGCTTGAGCTACTGGTCTCACAGTCTGAAATTATCATAAACAAAATATTAAATTATAATATAATATTAGCAGGGATGTAGACTCTTAATGAAAAGACTTGACAAACTCAAAAACAACTGAATACTTTGTTTTGAGGGATTTCCAAAAGAAAACGAAAACGAAAGGAGTTTTACTTCCTACTTTTCTGCACCATGTGGGCTAATGAAGATGGGCAATGCCATGCAGGGTGCAATGATGGGAAATTTTGCCAGGACAGCCTCCTCTGTTTTGATTTCCAACTGTTGAGGGATCTTTAACGTGCACAGCCTGTAGCACACAGGGCCTTGGTTTATTGTCCCATAGACTAAACAATTTTCCACGTCAGCCCCTCTGAACCCTGGACCTTCAGGTTAGCAAGCAAGCATCTAACTCACTGAGCCACTGCTCCAAAAGAGGACTTGACAAGTCTGAATACCAAATGAATATTATTAGCTATGTGGACTCTCTAAGAGGGATATGGAGTATGACAAACCTTAAAATACCAAATTAAAAGATTAGCTATCTTTCCGCAAGGGACCTTGAGGTAAACAGAACAAATCATTAAAATCTTATTTCTGAAATTGCTTAATGCTTCTAATGTGAACTCTCATCTAACCCTCTGCCATTTAGATTTTGGCCTTGTGTTTTTGTTTAACTATTTTACTCCAACAAACCTCCATAATTTCTGCCTTTTCATCAGTAGCGAATAAATTAGGGACTTCTCCAGTATTCAATAAACTGTCAATGTCTTCCAGGAATGATTCCTCTTTAATCTGAGTGTCTGTGATTAAAAATACAGTGGGTTTACCAACACCTCCTACTGTCTTCAATAGATTCTGGAAAAACAAAATTGAAAATTAGTAATCCTCTTAACAAAGTTTTGTGAGGTGGTATAGCACAGTTGGTTAGAGCGTTGGTTTGTTGACGTCATTTGCTTGGTTACATCGAGTGAATGGTGGCTGTGGATTCAGATCTTGATCAGCGTGCGAAAGTCTGATGATCTTGAATAAGTCATCTTCACTCCAATCGACCCAGCTGTAAATGGGTATGGACAAGGAAAGATAAATTTAAAGGAAAAATGAATTCAAGGACCAGCTGGTGGACAGGATCCATGTGAACCTCAGTTGTTATTCTAGGAAAAAGTGGTTATTTCTTTCTATTTATTATGTTTTAAATGACCTGAATGTTCCCTGTATTGCCTCATTTCACCCACTTACCTTGATGTCTTCTCTCCATTCATTTTTACCATAATTTTTGGAGATCTCTGGTTGGAAGAGGTTATAGCCAGCCATAGCTGTAGCTAATCTAGTCAGTGATTGACGACCGCTACCACCTACACCAACCAGAAGGGCATTCCCACCAGGTTGACGTAAAATACGACAGATTCGAGACAAATGTTCTAAGACATATCTGAAATATACCAACTCAATATTATCAACTATGTGAACCCTCTGATAGGGATACTGAGTTGACAAACCTATATACCTAATAAACATTATTAGCTATGTGGACTCTCTGAAAGGGATGTCGAGTTGATAAATCAAAAGACCAAATAAACTATAAGCTATGTGTACTTTTTAATATATTGCGCCTTTTTCATTTTGTCTTATTGATTGATAGAGATTAGTTACATCATCAAACACTTAGTTTTAGTGAAATTGCAGGAACCACAGACGTCTGACTGAAAATTGGAATGGTGCAAATTGATACTATCAGTGTCCCCGATACACATACAAAATTTAGAAAACCTCTTTACAATCCCTTTAATATGCACATCTTATAGCTGTACAAAACAAAAAGATGTTTTCTCTGGTATGCTGACAGGTTATACAAGGTTGAAAAATAAGAAGTTAGTACTATTTTGTCCACCGTGGCGATGGGTTGGTACTCCAGATCAAATAATAAAAGTAGAACTTGCTGAGTTTACCTGAAGATGACCAGGTTCATTCTAAAACTACATAGCAAATGTCAAACCGTTTCGCTGAACTTACCTGAAGATGACTAGGTTCATTCTAGTTTTATGTGTATTATTATATTCTTCTAAACATTGCTCTACTATTAAATAGAAATTCTCTAACGATTTCACTTCTTCATAAACTCTCTCATCTGGTTCAGCTTCCGAATTCATATAATCACCAAACATTAAACTTCTTAAATTCTCTTCTTTTACTTTCTCTCCTTCTCCTGTTAGATGTTCAAATACCTGGTCAAAATTCTCTTTAAAATGATCTTTAACCAGTTTCTGTACAGCTCTACAATGAAAATAAAAAATACAATTCAGAGAAATATTGCTACGTGGACTAAAAAACGGACACCGTGTATTTAAAGCTAGTCAGGAAATGAAACGATGTGAAATGGTGTTTTATATCCTAGTAAGTGCCATACAGTGTGCAATGATGGGAAAATTTCTAGCTGTTCGAAGTCCTTGAATAAGTCATCTTTCTTCATTATTTCAGTCAACCCTGATGTAAATAGGTATGGGTAATCTTTGAGAGATCAATGCTAAGAGGTTTGGCCAAGCACCAGATGGTAGAAAGGATTCTTATTAAACCTAATATTTGTAATCCTTGTAAATATTGTTATTTGTTTTTGTCCTTCTGTAGTAAACATAATAATCTTACTTGAAGATCCACTGTCTGTCATCATCATCTGTTAATCTATCATAAAATACTCTCATTACTTCATGTACCCATAATCTATAAACAGACAAAATATACTCTAGATCAATTCAATTCATATTACTTATTAATATCTTGTTAGATTCCAACTGTCTAGAGATCATTCACTCAATATAGAACAGTCTTTATCAATGTGTTAGAGGCATCAAGAAATTCACCAACAACAGATTTGGCTTTAATGTATTCAGTAGGAAGGAATATAACCTAAATTGGATCTCATCATACTGTTGGTAAGCTAGAATTGGTTTTTAAAGGGATATGAAGAGGTTTTCTAAATTTTTTATGTGTATCAGTGACACTGATAACATCAAAACTAAGTGTTTTATGACGTCACCCCTGCAAAAAGTTGCTTGTATCACATAAGACCTTGGCTATGGTGACGTCATAAAACACTTAGTTTTAGTGGAATTGCAGGAACCACCGACATCTGATTGAAAATTCAGTGTCCCTGATACACATACAAAATTTAGAAGGATGGCATACAATCTCTTTAACTTGGTTATAATTTGGCCATTATTGCATTTTCTTCATTTATCTTTCAAAAGTTTACAAATGCTACAATATCAGCTTTACAGTCATTGGTCAGAAATAATCAAAGTACCCTTTAGTTGAATAAAATTTTGTTTCCTTAAAATAGTGTTTCATGTGCTTTGTTGATAGATAACCACATATTTTTCTACAATATCATCTGTATCTGTCCCTGACTGGACAAAAGACAACAAAGGACGTACCTAGTCAAGACTCGTTTATTTTCAACTTGATCTTTCTTAATAAGACAAACTCCCAGGATAATTCTTGAGAAATCTCGTAGATTAAAAACGTAGTGAGATTTCGCTGGAGTGGGGAGTAGATTAGTCATAGCCATGTTATACATCTCCATTGTGGCTTGAACTATCGTATTTCCTATTGAGAAAAAATCAGTTGAAAATTCCGCTCCCTGAAAAACACGAGAAGAAATTTATCAATTGTATATAGATTGCATACTGTGCATATGGCACAGTCCATGGACAAAGTCACGGAAGCATGTTCCGATTACATCTGTCTCTTGAGTACCCAAAAATAATATGGTACTCAAAAACAAGTCACTACTGTTATTTTTACCTTAACAAAGCATATACATGTCAAAATGTCTTTAATGGAGGCAAAATTTGTTCTTTATTAGTTGAATAGAACACTGATATCATCTAACAGTAAATTTTCAGGAAAGTGACCCCCAAATCACCTTGTGAAATTGAGCCTTACACTCCCAGCATCAATATGAGAAGCAACTTCTACCACAGGGAAGATTTTACTATATCAGTTATTGACTCATCCAATAGGGTCAATGAATCTTATGTTAATTTATCACAGTGGCACCTGTAGCTTTCCTAGTGAGAGTAACATTGAAAGAAAAAGATTTCAGTTGACGTACCTTGATATAAGTAGACATTATGGTACTAAATATTTTAATCATTGTGTCTTCTGAGAATGGATTCATAGCAACGATATTAAAATGACGTAAAAATCTTGGTGTCACGATATTCCTAGCGCCCCCTGGTGGACCCATGGCTGCTATAAACTGAATATCTTGTAGAAGAATCTTTGATGTGTCTTTAAGATCATACCTAGAAAGGAAAACAGGAATCAAGTTTTGAGTTCTGATTTTTTAACTTCAGTCTATATTGGGGAAAGAGAGATGAAGAATGCTTTAGAGTGTTTAAAGGGAGACTAACCATGACAGTTACAGTAGCTAACTCTTTTGATTAAGGGGAGATTTTGTAGCACATGAGACCTTAAACCTTGATAAAAAGTTTCTAACAAATGGTGGAGGAGGGTTCTAATCTCAGTTATCATGTCTGGTCATGTTCCAGTTAATCCAGGTGTAGATGAGTATCTGGAAATATCAATGCTAAGATGCTATACAGAATCCTTGAGAACCAAAGTTGTCATCCTTGTAAAAATATAACCAAGAGGATTGGCCAAGAACCAAATGGTAGAAAGGATCCTCATTTTTATCCTGGTAAATGATGGATGTTTCTTTTTCAACTCTACTCACCAGTTTCCGTGATCTATATATTGTCGTAGCAATTCAATAGGAGGCTGAGCTCCGTACACTTCTTTCTGGGGCATGTTCATATCATCCACGAATATTATAGCTCTTTTACCAACTTGTGGTCCGTAGACCCCTTTACGTCTCTTATCTAACTTAGACATTATAATATTCTACAAATATAATAAAACATAATAAAAATTTGTAAAAGCAAAACAATTCCGTTAACAAAACATCTCGTCCAAAGCATGACAAAATTGGGTATAATAGGATAAAAAAACTATGCAAACACTATGCCATAATGTTTCATAATGTCGTGGGCTCTGATTGACTGTATTAGCTGACATACAATCAAATGCATTCCGCTATAAAAGAAAGGTGGCTATTGCAGTCAAGGTATAAGAGGAAGTTGGTAATAGCTTGACAGTGTGAAGATGTGTACCTCTTTACTTGAATGTTTTAACCCTCAGACCTACCTGTGTTTGGTTAGCACTAGTTTGAGCTGAGAAATTAACAAATGTTGGAAGATATTTATCTTTTGGTAAACCATTCATTAGTTTTTCCTGTACATAAACACTTTTACCAGTACCTGTTGGTCCCACAAATAACAGAGGTCTGAAAATATAGTTTTAATGTTAAAAACACTGAATTTGTTGGCTCAAAATCAAAAAACATTGATAGGTCCTTGATTGGAATATGTTTTTTTAAACTAGTGACTTAAATGTAGTGAGAACTAAAATAAACAATATGCTGTGGAGATAGGGTTGGGTTGTTTACCTATGGTGGTTGAATGTAATTAACATGACCCAGGAGGTGATAAGGGATGTCAGTGGGGTCAGTCTGATAAAAAACAAGAAACGAAAAACCCATATTTGCATTATAATCAGATTGTTTTCAATATTAAAAGCTTACCTAGAGTGGTTAATACAGAGTTCCATAAGATAGGTATATCGAGCTGTATCCATGGTGGGAACTAACATATCTCGGATTTTCTTAGACTTAGATTCCACTCCTCGAATTAAATCATTCCAATGTTTCCATGATCCTTTGGCTTTAAACTGGAGAATGACAAAAAAATACATAAAGGAAATGGTCAAGTAATGACATTTTTAGAAATTTAGTGAAGGGATAGATTGTGTCTGTTTAATTAGTTTAAGTCAGCTGGTTGAAATTTGTAAAAGTTGCTAGGTAAGATTAGGCCTATGCAAGTTTCTAGCTTTTGACAATTGGCAAAATATGTAAAATTATGTCAGAGGCCACTTCAGTGATGGCAGTTATCAGCTTAATAAGTTTAGCATTCTTAGTCAACATGTCCTGCTTCTGTAACAAAACCTTTGACAATAACAATAAGTAATTTCTAAAATAAAACTTAAAGCATTCTTACCTCATAAAAGAAATCGTAGACATGATTATCAGGTGGGAAAGGAATATCAATCTTCACACTCTTGGGTACTGGATGATCTTCAAATTTACCAGCGAGTAGCTCACGATAATACCCATCGAATTTCCCTCGTCCATCAACGTCCACCATAGCACCGATAGTCCAGGGTACAGAAAACATTATAGATGACTAGAAACAAATATATAGAATTCACATCAACATGAAGTTCGTTGTCCTACTTTTCTATACAATATTGAGTTGGGAGTTTGTTTATGATACTTTATGAAGCATTAAAGAAGATTCTTTTCTGTATTTTATCAGTTAAACAATATCAGCAATGCTATGCACAGTACAATCAAGTTTGGCACTGAATACTTCTATTTTAGTTTTGAGAAATCTTTTATAATGCACAAACTGTAATAAACAAAGCCAATCCAAAAAATCAAGATGTGTGGTATCTCATGCAGTATGCAATGAGGGAAATTTTGTTAGAGCTATTTACTAATTCAGATTGATCAAATCTGTACACAGATTGGTATTTCAGGGAACTGAACAATTTATTAGAATAAGATAAACTCTCACCATGAGATAAGTTCTGATGTGTTTGTTGTCAGCTGCATCTTCCTTAGTTACTGTTTCATGCATCAACATATCAATCATACGCATTAACGATGATACACAGTTAGCTGCCCCTGACGCGATATATTCCTAAAATATATAAATAAATACACAAGTTAGTTGAAAATATATCTTATTAAGACATAAAACATATACACACCTGACACGATCTATTCCTAAATAAAAAACAACAACTGAGTTATGTTCAGCTAAAACCAAGTTTGAATAAATCTTGGTAAATATAGATGTTCTTAAGAGTAAGATAAAATACAGGATTAAACACATTTTCATTAGTGTATTGAGAATAGTTCCTCAATATTCAGAAAGCAAACCTAAGATTTAAAACATAGAAGTTTGAGAATTTCAAATTTTTCAGAGCTAGCTTTGTCCGATTTGTGGTGTGATACTTATACATGTAAACTTATATGATTATCATGCCCAAACATGCTGGAAGTATGTGCTTCACCTTGCTTAAAGGCTTGAACAATCATATAATTAGACTCTATTCATACTAGATAACTACTCATGCCAGCTCTGTATAGTGATTAGGTGCAAAACTTAGTTTCCCGTGTATATTTCGGACTAGCACTGCAGTGACTGTACAATTACTTCTGCTTGGTTGGTTCTACATAAAGTGCAGACATATTTTTCATGCTTGAAGATTTTTCAATAATTATAATCACACCTACTCATGCAAGATTTGGTATAAGTCATAATACAGTGCCCACTTTTTCATTATTCAGAAAATTTTGATATAGTTACATAGTGAGTGAATCTTGGTATGTGGTTTTATGACTTACAAATAAATCCGCTATTAGCTAAATTGAAATTCAATATACATCATTATCACTGAGTAGTTAAATAGAGACAATAAACATTGCCATCAAGTGGAAATTAGTTAACAATTTATTGATGAGTAAACTTCTTGGGATCTTTAATGTTTACAGGCTGTATGAACCCAGTGTCATGGTTACCAACAATACACTTCTTCTGATAAAATCCCTCATGAATTTCTTAGTTAGTGAAGTAGATCATTAGATGAAAATATCATTTCAATAAAATAATAATGAAAAATCAAATTAAAAGTTGAATTCCTACCTTGCAGTTTTTTCTCACAAAATCTAAACATGGATCAACAAGCCATTCAAATACATCGTCCACCATTTCTACATCGTCAGGGGATACAACCTTGGGGAAGGTGTTTAACCAGGAACGAACCATGGGTCTCCAGCCGAGAGTTGTAGGTTCTAGATATACCATACCACATCTACTTACTGTAGCAGGCTACAAATATAAACATATATCTCAATTTCTAGGTCTTCGTTTATTGACGTAAATATAACAGATGACTATTAAAGTCAAGTCTTTATATTTTGAGATCAAGTAATATTTGGATTGATCAAAGATGCCAATAAATGCAAAATTCTTCTGATCAAACGATTGCTGTGGGTTCTACTCTCGATCAGCGTGTGAAATTCCGATGATCATCAATAATTCATCTTCACTCATAATTCCAGTCAACCCAGCTGTAAATTGGTACAAATATTTTGGGAAAGATCAATGCCGAAAGGTTTGGCCAAGGAACAACTGGTAGAAAGAAAAGTTGTAATCCTAAGTTGTTACCCCTGTAAAATATAGTTGTATATAAAAAGACTTCTCCTGATCTCAAACAAGTTTAAAAAAACATTAAAAAGTTTTAACACACAGTTTAGTAGATCGAGTAACATCCATATACTTACAGAGGCTTGTGACAAATCCATAGTTTCAAAAATTAAGCTCATAACAGCTGAGAGCTGAATAATTTCACCAGACATCAAACAGAGTTTTTTATTATCATCCAGCACGGTGTTCATATTTTCAATCCATAAGGCATCAATAGGGCCGTCGAATAATACCCACTTACGATCGGGGGTATCGGTAGAGGCGAATTCTCGGAACGTATTAGCTACTATTCCGTCAGTCCACTGAAAGTGAAAGTATAATGAAAGTATAATGAATATTCTAATGTCAGGGAGAAATAGCTTATAAAATATAGTTTCCGCAAAACAAGTGAATGAGTTAAATTGAAGTTCAGGATAGCAATATAAAAGCAAATCAGTTTTTTTCTTCTGCATCTAATTTGGGGGATTCGAAAGAGCTTTATCAAAGAAAAAAAAGAGACAGAGTATAAAATAAAACATTTTATGTACGGTTGTTTAAATTATATTTATACCTTCATTTTCATACTTTTGATATGGTTTTCTATAATATAGGGGTATGAAAAGAATCAGATTAATTTTCTAATTTGCCTGAATGTAAAAGTTTTTCCTCTACCCCAGACACAATCTCTCTGCAGACGGCACCTAGTTGAATGAAAGATGGAGGGTCGAGCAGTCTTACCTCGTGAGAAACGGGATCAAACTGACCGAACAGTTGGCCCATAGTAATGGCTTTTGGATTAATAATACGAGTTAAAACTTTCTCATATTCTTCATCGTGTCCTTGTTCATTTAATAACGTCATTCCCTCGGCTAAAACTTCCAGTACTTTAGTTTTACCACCAAACGGCTCACCCACCAACATAAAACTATAAATAATAAAAGAAAATATAACATGGAAGGAAATGGTATAAAAGAATATTGGAAATAATAAGAGCTTGATGTCCTGTTTATCTGCTATTCAAGCCATTTAATTACAGAAACCACAGAAGTTGACCAGGAAAGTGATGGATGAAGCAATCACAAATGGTCCCAATACAAAGACTTTAATAGGTTGCTGACTGTCATTCAGTTAGAGGACAAAATCCAATTGAAACATTAGTGCAAACAGGACGGTAATGTGAGTTTACATTGCCTCAATTTCAGATATCATTAAATCCACCTACCCATGTCGAACTATCATCATCTCGTATGTCTGAATTAGTTTCTCTTTAAAGAAATCAGCGAAAATCAGATTTTTCTTGGCAGCGACTTCCTTGATGGCATTCAGGAATATTTCATAATCAGCCTCTGGTAGTTTCAATCCAGGGAACAAATCAGAAATGATACCATTAAACAGTGGGATATCGTGGGATAAGAATTTCGGTAGATTTACGTCAATGATGGAACGTAATAACTAAAAAATAACAAAGTATCAACATGGTTAGGACTCATTTTTTAAAAGCAGTATTAAATCAGTATCATTCTAGATTCTAGATTAACCTGAAGATAATATCTACTACATTTTAATTAACACTATAATCTGATTGATTAATAAAACAACATTCAAAATTGATTTCAGTGATTGACCAATCAGGCCCCGTATTCTCGAAACAATCTTAGCGCTTGGATGTCCTATGTTCTTATCTTCTAACATTGATTCTAGGACATCCTAGCGCTAAGATCGTTTCGAGAATGGTCAATTGGAATACTTAAATCATCTTATGATAAGTTTTCCGAATTAAGGCTCAGTTCTTGCTAATTAGATCATCAGTTTTCAGAGATTGAATATTAAACTTACTAGAATGTCTTCATCTCCATCAGGATCTTTAAGTTTAAGATTACCAGCAGCTGACAGTACGGCCTTCACAGCTCTCATACCGTAATCATAATGAAACTGTGATGAGAGCTGTTCAGAACACAATCGATATGTCGTTACAATTTTAACTGACAGATTTCTAGCATCCAGGAAACCAAACGAATACAGGGAGATTTCAGCAATCATGGCATAATCAGGCACCATCATAGCTACAGTTCGGAACAATACCTGAATAACACAATCAAAAGAAATACAATAATAAAAGTTGAAATGAATGCTGAAAGCAGGTTTCTGAAACAAACTGGGTCATGCAGTAAATTTCATTTCATGTTCTTCTAATAGAAGAAAAATGGGAGCTTAACTGGAGTAGGATTCAAGAAAAAATTAAAACAGAAATAGTGAAATTGAATCAAATAGGAAGCTGAGTGGATCTAAAAAAAAAAGTACCAAATTGACTCAAAAGCCAAATAAGGATCAAGAAAGAGTCAAATAAGTGCCAAATAGAACTCAAAGAAGACTCATACACGGGCCAAAAAGGAGCAGAAATGGAAGTTAAAGTGGGTAAACTATGTTCAAGTTAACCATAATTCAAAAACTAAAATACTGTACCTTGAGATTATCAGGCAGTTCAGAACGTCCAGCGTAACCAGGATTCATCGTAATACAAACATAACAATTAGGATTCAGTTTTAATTCTGTTCCCTCAAAATCAAACCACTCCATCTTGGTCTGTACAGCTCGTATAATACACAGGATCTGTTGGGCCACCACAGATAATACCTCTAAATCTATTCTGTTGAACTCATCAAAACATGCCCACGCTCCGGATGAGGCTAGACCTTTGAAAAACTAAAATAAATATTCAAAATACATTTACACATTGTTAGGTATATGGAATCTCTGAAACTGATTCTAAGTTGATGAATTAAGAGTGAACCCTGCCTTGCCTTGAGCTTAGTTGGCTCTGTTTGAATCTCCTTAAAGTTAGCAAAAGTTCTGAAGCCGTGACCAGCACTTTCGAGAGTTAGTCTGGTGTCATCCATCAATCCATATCAACTACCCTAGATATATCAAACTAGAAATAGTTCAGAAAGAAAATATCCTACCTTTCCCATAGCAATATAATCTAGACCATCAGAACAGTTGAATACAACACACTGGACAGCAATGGCTTTTGCTAAATCTTTGGTAGTCTCTGTTTTACCAGTACCAGCAGGACCTTCAGGGGCTCCGTTCAAATTCAAATGGAATGCACCAATCAGGGTTCGGTAACATCTATCTGTTAACGGTGTGATGACCAATCGGGCTGAGTTACCCAGGTATTCATTGCAGTATTTGACGGTAGCGTTGGTGATTCGTACCAACATGCTGTTCTCTTCCCAATAATACCTCATCTGGGACAACCAATTAAAATCATTCTCAGTGGCGACTCCTAGTGACAGAAATAAGATTCAGGTCATAGTGACATAAATCAAAAGACATAATACATGATACTATTTTATATGAACAATCTATTTCCCCTTCAAAACTTTTAATTTGTTGGACATTCAGCTTTAAAACTGATTTGCGTTACAATTACAAGGTTACAAGGTAGATTTCAGTCAATTCAAAAAAATGAACGCTTCTGTTTTTTCTAAATACAACTCTGATGGAAAATAAAAGCATTTGTGCAGTATATATCCAATTCCTGTGCCACCTTGTATATATTACAGAAAGATACTCTAGAGATGTTGTCCCAATATTGGCAATGAAAGTCTAAAATTTCCAGAAATACTAAAGGGAATGTATACCTTTGTTAGCCATGTCTAAAACTACATCTCTAGCGTGTACATCTATAACGACCAGAGCTCCTAGAGTAGTACGCTGTTGTTTGGTTAATTTACCACGAACCAACGCAACGATATCTTTCAACTGAGCTTGGAGTCTGTCCCAGTAGTCTCGTAAACCTTGTGGACCACCTCGGATCGCCTCGTGGACTTCCCTGGTCCAGAATGTTTGTGATACACACAATACAACCTGTCCTGGCCATTCTTTTACCCACTCTGTTCTAGGTGATATGATGTAAGCCTGAAAATTAACATTTATCAAATTAAAACAAAGAAACATTTCATTCCATTACTATTACGTTGAACAACAATAAGCAGCATTTTAAACCGTAAAGAAGAATTTTAAAAAAGTTTGCTGACAATATTAATTCTAATAAAAAACGTATGTACGTTAGGTCAAAATATGAAGAATTAAATAATAGTAACGTATACAACTGAATTGTCTTTTATTATTGTCTTATTATTAGAAAGGTACCGTCAGTAGAATCTGAGTCACTGAGCTATAAATAGTTACATGTGGCATGTTAAAAAATGCCGAAACTCTGAGTACTCTGACACTTTCGCTAATCCGACACTTTTTTTGTGGTCCCAGTGTATGTCGGATTACGCAGAGTATACTGTAGTATGATTGTATTCCTAAGCGATCTATGGCTATCACTGTTTTTCTTTGTGTCTGCCAACAGCCAAGATACAGTTCAAAAATAGGTCTCATAATCTTACATAGGTTCTAGAACATCTTGCCCTGGTAAAAACTCCCAGCATTGATTTTTCCTGGATTATTCTATTAATTTAAAGCTGGAAAAACTTGATAGTGAGAAACTTTTTTATCAAATAAATGTTTTGTCCCAATCTCAGTTCAATTACTAAAACTGAGTTTAGCACAAAACAACAACCATTTATTCAACATTTCGAAGCAAATGAGGATAAGATTTCAACATTCTAACCAACTGAGCTACAGTCCGTCATCATATAAAGCCAGACAATAAAACAATAAATCTGTGTACAAACCTCGATAGAATTTTCCACAACATCTCTGACAGACATCAACATAACATCTTGAACTTGTAGCAGCCATTTTTCCACGGCACCACGAGCTTCTGACGTTGATACGACCTGACTGAATTTGACCTTTTCTCCCTCACTACTGTACATAGCGTGTATATCCAGTTTAGAATCAAACTCCAGTTTAGCTATACCCTCAAAACATTTTTTCAGATGTGGCTGCACTCGAGTAGGATCCTTGGTTTCTGATAGAATCTCCAACATCTCGTCATTAGACAAGAAGAAAAATCTGAAAAATACGGAAATATTTCTATAACATGAAGTTTTCTATCGATAGATCGAGCAACTTGTGAAGTCAACTTGGAATTTGGTAAGATCTTTTAAGCTACTCTCCTGGTCAATCATGATGTTTATACTGGTTCAGTGAAATCAGTTAGCCTAAGGAGTACAGTAGTATTGGAAGTGTTCAGGAAGTTCCAAAAGAGTCCATATAGATTAACATTGATTTTTTTGTGACCTTACCTGGGGAAGAAAAGACGTTTTTTTTCAAGATAGGCGTTGAGACCTTTCATAATTTTATCTAATAATCCATTACTATCTATTAGTTTCTCCAGTAGACCAGGTACTGTAGCTGCTAGCATCACCTGTAATTATACATCCATATTATAAATAATGTAATCTTAGTTTAACACCATTTTATTTAACCACAGATCAGGTATTGTAACTAATTCAAGTGATTTAAAGATGGGTTTCTTTATATTTTAGTGTTAAATTAAGCAAACTATTTGATTAATTGGTGTTTCTAATGAATTATCATGTATTCTTAATCATCAGTTTTTAATAATAAAATAAAATTTATAAACAATCTAGATAATTAATTTTCGAAAAAACTTGCCCAAAAAATAAATATAAACCTACCTTTGGTTCTTTAACAGTGTGTTTCATGACATCCTTCCAGTTTCTGTCTACCATCTGGAAGAGACGTCCTTCTTCTGGCATCTGCTGCATGATATCTTCTGATGAGAAAATAGGTTCCAGATATAACCATTGAGCTTGTACCTTCAACCATTCATCTATTGTCTCTTGAGTTCTCATTAATTTATCTTCCCATTCCTAAATTAGAAACAAAATAGCAAAAAAATTAGAACACATGATATAACATACTTTGCTGCTCCTATACAGTTTTATGAAAAAAGATTACATGAGCAGTAGGCAATGAGGGACATTTACCTCACCTGTCATTAGCCTACTTGACAGTTATTTCCTGTCGTCACAGACTGTCGTTGGAGGGGGGACACAAGATAGAAAATTCCAAGGTAAAATATGTAACCTGGCTTCAAGTCTTGCAACGTAGGGGTTTGCACTTTAATATTTGAAAGTCTCAAACAATTTCTATTGTTATCAATATGAATCATCTTACCTTAATTTCCTTCTCAAAAGGTTTAATAAATGGTGAGCCTCTCATAGTCTGAGTTTTAACAATCTGATCATCTAGTAGAGTTTGTATATCATCTACCGAGGCTAAGATAGAGACACCAGTATCACGATAGGCTGTTAGGTTGAAATTTATTCCTTCCCATTCTTCTATCATCTTATTCATAGCTTTCTCTAGAGAGAATTCCTACAAAACAAATAAATTACAATAAAATAAATAAATGAATGGTTATAGTCCCACTTTCAGCATTGTTTTGGCTAACGAAGAACTTTCAATGCCAAGTGCAGCAGAATTCCTTTCTCCTCTCAACGTCTGTGGTTCCTGCTATTACAATAATGCTTTGCTGACAGCGTTATCACAAAAGCTGCTTATAATATCTAATAATATCTAATAATATCGATGCTGTCAGTGTTCCCTATATACATAATAAAAACAGATACAAGAAATTCTCCTGGAAACATTGAAGTTCAAACATCTTTTACATACCTTAGAAGCAGCACCGGAGATACTCTCAAACTGTTCCATATATGGTTCTAGTTCCAGTTTCAGGACTTTACGGAGTGTGGTACCAGAATCTGGGGTCAGGTCGAACCCTGCTATATCTGACATCATAGACCAGTGCCGAGTTCGAATACCAGGATTACACATTATAGATATATACGGTATATTTTCCTAGAAAAATATAGGAAAGAATAAATGAATGAATATAACATGATAAGTATGCAAAGCTGATGATAGACAGAAGAAATGGATGAATGAATAACAGAAAGCACAATTTGATAAAAGAATACAAGATTTTTGTCCCTAGCTTCGTACACTAATAAAACTTATACAGGAATATTTAAATACTAGAAAATAAACCCATTTCAAAAATAATTGACAAAAGACTTTGTACCCAAAACATTGGTTTTCAAAAGCTAAACCTTTACTACATTTTTAAACATGCAAACTAACACACACTCTATTTTCTAAACTGTAGACTTTCTAATTCTGTACACAAAGATTCATCTACACAGCTAATGTCTCAATGTTGTCAAGAGTGAAAAAATACGTCAATGTTTGAACCAGTGATATTAACCATCCTAACATCGTCCCTTGAAAGCAACTTGAAAATTGTGAAAAACTATCTAGGTGTCTCTCGGTGAAATCAAATGCAGTAGAATCTACAAATATTTGAATCAAACTACTGAAGTGAACATATTTTTTGTGTAAGTATGTACCACTCCATTTGAAGTCTCTTTTCCTCCCGTGATCTAGAACAGAATTATTAGATTATAACAGGCACGTTCACCATCCAATCGATCTATCGTACCTTAGTCTTAAAAACAGGTATAATTAAGAAAATGAAAGTCAAATTAATAGTTTGAGTTATCTATGAAGGGATTATGTGATTTACATGTATAGTTTTAGTTTCTGAAGAAACTCATGGCCTATATAAACTTTCAAAAATGATACTTGTGGCCTTTAATACAGCGTTGATATTTGATTGTGTATATTTTCAATCTGTTACTCTCACTTACAATAGATTTTATCATCTCTGAATCAGAATTTATGACGAANAAAATTTAAAATGAAAATAAAAGTGAGAGGACAAACCTTGAAATCTTTCATATTATCCATAACACTGTTACAGACATTGATAGCTTGTGGCATGTGGAATTCATCTTCCTCTTCCTCTTCCTGTTTCTCTTCCCCTTCCTCATCTTCAC